ATGCTAGGACTCTGCCTCTCTCAGTGCACACTACAGTCTCCCCACCTTTCGTGGGGTGAAAAGCTCTCTTCCCAAGCAAACTCTGGCCAGAACACCGTCTCTTCTTTGTTTCCTGTTTCTCACCATTGCTCACGCCCCCCCCCCAACACACACACCCCGTCTTCTTCGGGATCCTGACCCTTCCCCTTCCTTCTTACTCTCTGATTCCCACCCCCTTCCCTGCCGCCCCATGTCAGCATCCCTTTCTTGCAGAAATTGAGGGCCCCTCACTGGTGACCTTCCAGAAACCTTATGACTCTGTACCTCAGATTCCCCATGTACAGACTGGGAGAAGGCCATAGGCCTCAGGTGCATTTGGGGTGGGAATTGGGGGAGCCTGTTGGGCTGACATCAGAGTAATGAAGCCAAAAGAACAAAGCTGAAAATAGCACCTTTATGTAAGCTTGCTCCCCTTAATGAGGTGAAGAGGCCTAGAAACTGCGCAGGGCAGAGGGCAGGGCCGGGCAGGGGCTGGAGGAGGAGACTTGTGTGCTGAGGTGGTCCTGGGCACCCAAGCAGCACCTGGGCCTCACCGTGTCCAAGCCAGCCTTTACCTCCCCATCTCCAGAATTCTGCATGCTCCCTGCAAAGGTCAGCTCAGGGACTGTCCCCACTCTCATTTCATTTTGTCCCCCTCAAGTGCCCCAAACCAGACTTCTATGAATCTGGGCCCTGATTGGGTCAAGTTAATCAATAATGAGCTCTTTCTTCCGGTAGGAAGGGAAGGTTTGAACTGCCCCCAGCTTAAGGAAAGAGAAGGGGACAGAAGCAAGGGTCCTAAAAGCATCTGGGTTTTTGTGGGAAGCAGGATTTTGGTCTGGGATATGGAGCCAGGCCTTGAACACTTGGCTGCCTGCCCTAGCCTTGCTGTGTGACCTTGGGCAAGTGATCCCTCTCTGAGCCTCAGTCATCTCATCTGTAGAGTGGGTGAAGGGTCGCACCTGGGAGGATGGTGGAAGCCCTCAGAGGAGGGGCTCAGGCAGCTGGCAGGGGATGGGAGGGGGAGAGTGCACAGGCCTGACTCCTGCATGAATTTCGACCTTCAGCCTCTCTTGAAGTTTGCTCCAAAATAGTTCTGCTGACGCTGCCCGGTTCTTAGCCTGCTGTCGGCAGCTATTTCAGATGTACAAGGAGCATGGCTCAGGGCTCTGGGCTCCTGAGCGTCTGGATTTGCAGATGGAGCCTGCCATTTGCTCCACTTCTGGCTCCCTCCCTCCCCCCTTCCTCTTCTCCCTCCCCGCCTTCTGTCAGGTCCCAGGATGCCTGGATGGCAGGAGCAAGGGTGAGCCAGGCCAGCAGTAGTCCTGTTCTTCCTCATGCAAAGGCTCCCTGGCTCCCGTGAGTCCATGTGGGGTGGGCAGCAAGGGTAGCCCAGACCTGGCTTAGAAGCCAGGAGCACCGTCCAACGTGCCATGGAACCTTGGACAAGTCCTTTCCCTCCCTGAGCTTCAGTCGTAGCATATGTAGCCAGGAAGATGCATGGGGAGGATAAGGCAGGAGAAACAGCCAACACAGGGTCTGCACACAGAAGGTCCTCCAGGGCACCTCCTTCTCAAATGTCCTTTTAGGAGAGCTTCCTTCCTAGGTTGGGGCTGCCTGAAAAGTGCTTGCTGAGCGACTGAATGATGCCCTAGGTTTCCAACACCCCCAGGCAGGGCAGAATCCTATGTCTTTGGCTCCACTACACGTTGTGATCTGAGCCTCACTCTGCTTCCTCCAGGGTCACCTGCAGGGTGAACTCCTGGAGTTGAAGCTGGTAGCAGTGGCCACTTGTGCGTGTGGCAAGGTTCCTCTTGTCCTTTACAGCAGACCCCTCTGAGGCTCTGTGCTGTCTGCATCTCCTGCTGAAGCTAGGGCCCGGACTGTCCGGTCCCAGGAGGGACTGGTATGGACTGGGCGCACTCAGCCACTCACCTCTATTCTGGTGCACTGCGCTGCCTGGTATGGCTCTTCCAGGGTGCACTGTACTTACGATGGTTACACTGAGGGCTCACCCCCCCACCCCCACCCCTGTGGGCCAGGTGCGTTCTCAGGCCCTAATTGCAGGGCAGGTTTGCAAGGCCTCCCAGACTTCTGATGGCTATGACAGTCACCTTCCTGTGTACATTGTGCCAGGCCCTGTGGGGAGAGCTTAGTGGGTATTAACACATCAACAGCATGAGGCAGAAACTACTGTCATCCCACTTATAGTTGGGCACAGAGAGTTCCGGTGATCTGTCTGCCGTCAGCGACAGAACTTACTGTGATCGCACAAACCCCAGAGGTGGGACAGGCAGAGCTGGTGTCACTAATAGAGGACTCAGCGTCTTGCCAGCCCATGGGCTCCTCACTAGCTTTTGTGGTCAGATGCCAACTCAGATGCTCCAGGCCTCAAAGAGAATTCAAGATGGGAATCTGGATGGTGGGCCGCAGTCTCTGCCTCAGGGTTATGGAGTCCAGGTGCCTTCTGTCCCTCTCCCTGGTTTGAGCCATCCTTACTGCCCTCCATGATGACCCACAGTGTCCCCTCACTCAGCTCCCAGCCTGCTGGGGCCTTCTCCCCTTGACAGAGCAATCAGTTGATCCCTCCCTCCCTCCATCCCTCCCTTTGCTTAGTAAGTACTGATCAAGCAGTCACTGTTCTGAACCCTGAGGGGAAGTGGGGACACAAGGCCCGCCTTCTCGGACTTTCTATCCTAGTGGGACAGACAACAAAGCCATGTTGTGACAAGTGTTACACCGTGAAACAAAGTGGAGAGAGATGGAGTGGTGGTACTGTGCTGCTGTAGACAGGGCTGGTCTGGGAGGCTTCCTGCAGTCCAGAACTAAAGGAAGAGGGGGAATGGGTGACTAGTGTGGAGCAGGCACAGAGAGCAGCAAGTGCAGAGGCCAGCAAGAAAGAGCCCTGTGCATAGGCACAACGCGTACATGGTTTCCTTCCAAGTAAGGTAGAAAGACCCCAGAGTTATGGGCTAGGGAGAGATGTTACCTGATTTAGGTTTCAAGGATTGAATCTGGCTGCCGGTGGAGAATAGTGATTAGTGAGAAGGCAGGGTAGGGGGTGAGGACTGCGAGTGTAGGTTGGGTGCTCAGGTAGACCCCGTGGAGGGGTTGATATGGGAGTAGGGGCTTGAAGGAGGTAAGCAAGTCTAGCTCATAGTCAAGGCAGAAGCAAGTGCCCATGGGAAGGCCAAATGCCTTACCTGCAGTGTTCTGTGTGGCAGGAGAGGCCGTGAACAAAGGGAATCTTCATACAAGGCAAACTTGACCTCTTCTGCACAGCAATCCACTGCCCTCAGGCTCAAATCCAAGCATGACCACTTCTGTCTCGTGCAGAGCTGCCAGAAGATTCGAAAGCACCAACCCCCATCTCCTTCCTGCTTTACGTACACCTTTCTCTCCATTGGAAACGTCCGCCTTCCTTTCTTGGTTGTGCTTACCTGTAAAACCCAGCTTTTCACCCTGCCCCTTCCCCTAGGAAGCCTTCCTAGCCCCTCCCCTGGATCACTATAGCTGTTTGCCCTCATTATACCCTGCGCAGTCTCCTCCCGTCCCCACAGTCTCTGACCTCCCAAGGCAGAGGCCGCTCAGTGTCAGGGATTCGCTCAAGGCCTGAGCCAGGTTGCACTGGTCAGGGTTCGCCATGGAAACAGAACAAACAGGATAGCAAAAGACAGACAAGAAGATTCATTGCTGGGAAGCAGCTCATACGACTGTGCAGGCTGGGAAGTCCCATGACCTGCAGTCTGGAGACCCAGGAGAGAGCTGGTGGTTTAGTCCCAGTCCCAGTCCCAGAGCCTAAGAACCAGTCCCAGAAGCAGGAGTCCTGATATCTGAGGGCAGGCATTGGGCTGAGGTAAGGCATGTGTAAGGCCCTGGGTTCTACCCCCAGCACTGAAAAAAACAAAAACCAAACAAAATGTCACCTGAGCACAGATGAGCAGCACTCAAGAGAGCAAACTTGCCCTTCCTCCACTGTCATTCATGGGGGCTCGAACGGGGTTGGTGATGTCGCCATAGCAGGCTGCAGCTTCAGATGCTGATCTCTTCCAGAAACACCCTCACTGACACCCAGAGCAGTACTGTTTCCCTGCCATCTGCCTCCCTCACCAGACAACCCTATGTCAGCTGAATCCCCAGTGGCAGAGGCCCTTGTCATCCTGGACTTGGGGGATGGGGAGGCAGGGCATCAGAGCCTTCAAGAAATGAGCTCTGCTCAGCCCCCCACCCATCTAGAGGTGGCCTCTGGGCAGCCCAGTGTCACTGAGAGGACATGGGAGCGAAAGGAGAAATGGACATTTTTTGCAAAACACGACCTATTTAAACCCTAACCTGCTTCTGGAGAGTCAACCGTTAGGATGAAGGGAAAAAAATGGGCTAGTGTGGTCAATCAGTAGGAAGTAAATATTTCCATAGGAATCTCAGTATGCAGTATGTCCAGCTATCAATTGTACTATTACATGAAAAACACAAAATATAGTCTTGAACTCTAAAATAACTAGTATTTATAATTATACTTAACAACTATCATGTTTCATATATATTAAAAAGTAAATTCTATTTTCTCTCTTTAAAAAAAATCAAGGAAAAGGGACATCCCTTTGCGTGTCTCACTCTCTGCTTGCCCTCTTGCTACCTTCCTGGAATTCTAGGGTTTGCAGGCCTTGAGTCTGCTGAGCTTGGCAGTCCAGGCCCAGAACTCCTGAACAAGGCTGAGACACACGTAGCATCTCTAGGTGGTTCAGAAAGCCTGGAAGTGATCAGGAAGTACCAAAGAAAAAATGACTTCAATGTGGCTGGCAGGGAATTTTATCTAATTTTTTTTTAATGGGTAAGGTAAATTTCAACAGAGTGGGGCTGTCAGGGGTGGCCTAAACCACGTGAAGGTGTCACAAGTTTACCAATTGTGGTAAACTTTCTGAAGAGTAGACTGGCTCTCCTCTTGGCTCCTGTCTATTCACCTTGTCTCTTACCATTTGCAGAACACGCTGGACCTGGAGGAAAATGGTGAGGCCACCCAGGGCAGGGTCAGTGCCCTCCCAGATGTGTCCGTGGTAAGCTCCTGGTCAGCCCTTGAGCTGTGTGTTCTCATCTCTGCTCAAGTGTCCTCTGGGCTCCTCCTGGGGACAGCCACCAGGAGAGTACACACGGTGGATGAGAGGACAGGGACCTTGGCTACAAGCCCTCAGCCCCAGCTGCTTGGCTGTACCCAAGTGCACCCCTGCCACCTCCAGCAGAGACTAAGCCACTCACTCCTCGTGACCTTGATGGGGGTGGGAGGGCATCAAACTGACTGGCCACAGCCTGATTGCTGAGTGGGTCTTTGCCTCTGCTGTGTTGTCTGAACTCTGTATCAGCAAGTATGGGAACCTGTAGTAAGCACCCTTGAAGAGACCGCATGCCTAGCCTGGATGTGGAAGTTAAATACAGCATCACACTCATGTGATTCTGACCCAAGTGGCCTTGTGAGCCAGATTGCCTGGGTTCAAATCCCACCTCTTCCACTGCCTATGTGACTTCAGGCAAGCTTCTGAGCCTTTCTGTACCTGTTTTCCCATCTGGAATGAGGTGATAATAGCCTATCTCCCCATAGGATGGTGGCCAAGGGCGGATTAATTCATCTAAGTAAAGCACTTAGAACAGTGCATATAAAGCCATCAGAGCTTGTCATCACACAGGCGTCACAGGTGTTGGACATTGGCTGAGGCAGAGGGGACTAGTAATTGCAGGTCCATAGCTGATGCTCACAGTGCACCTGCTGCACATCATGCACCTCGCTGACACATTGCACACAGGGCTCCTGCTAGCCCCATCTATTCTGCTAGTAGCTACACTATGCTCAGAGAGGTGCCGGGCCTTTTCCAGGGTCACACAGCTCCACAGCCCATGTGTGCCTCTTCCCTCCAGTCCATTTTCCCTCCAGTCTGTTTCAGTTTCTGTTTTCAGTAACCAAAATAATCTGCTAAAAAAAAAAAAAAGTCAAAGAAATGCCTTTTTGCATGTTTCCCTCTCCTGCTTCTAATTAAGTCTTACTGCCCGTGACAAGCCCTGGCCTACTCCAAGGCTTCAATTCCCAAAGATACTGATGCGGCCCCAGAGATACCTGCCAAGATCCCAACGCTCCTCAGCTGCCGAGAGGCCAGGAGAAGTTTTCCGCTGGGGTGTTGCATTATTCAGAGCAGCGCGGCCAGGAGCTGACGGAGCAGGGACAGTGTTCCAGCCGGACCTGGCTCTGCGCTGCTGATCCTCTGACAGCCACCATGGGCTCTGACTTCTGTTCCTGTTGGGTCTTTTGGCAGGATGATGTCAAATCCACCTCCAAGGGGCTGACCGGCATCACACCACCTCCTCCCCCACCGCCCCTCACCCAAAGTCATGAACGCCTGCTGGACCAGCCAAGGAAGCCGGCAAAGGAGGACCCCCAGCCCCCTCCCTCTGCACCATCCCACTTGGGCATCGTCTTCTCAGCGCCACGGAACTGCAGTCCACCGCTGGGCACCACGCCTGCACCAGGGGCCTCCTCCACACAGGACTCACCCTCCTCCCCCATCTATGCCTCTATCTCCCCTGCCAACCCTAGCTCCAGGAGGCCACTGGACGGCCACCTGGCCCTGGTCAACCAGCACCCCATCGGCCCCTTCCCTCGGGTCCAGTCTCCCCCGCACCTGAAAAGCCTCCCTGCAGAGACTGCGGGGACCGGGAGCTGCCTCCCATCACCATCACCCTCTGACCATCCAGACCCAACGGGCACGAACCAGCACTTTGTCCTAGTGGAGGTACACCGGCCTGACAGCGAGCCTGATGTGAATGAAGTGCGGGCCCTGCCCCAAACTCGCAGTAAGTACAGTGGACCCTGGCTGGAGCTGGACCAGTCCATTTGCTGCCATAGTGAAAGGACAGATGTCCCCAGACTCAGGCACTATTTCGATGTCTTTGGAGTTCAAGGTTTGAGTTTGAATCCTGTTTCTGCTGCTGGCTCACTGTGACTACACAAGCTGCCTGGCCAGGCCTGTCTAAGCCTCACCTTCTCTTTGGTAGTGTGGAGCAAATAGCGACAGCCATGCCAAGTCACAGTTCCAAGTGGGAACTGTGGGCCTGTCCAGCTCCCCCAGCACTGGCCCTGGCAGCCCCTCTTGTTTGCTGCAGGAAGAAGTAGCCCCTTGAAGGCAGGGTGACTTCTGTTATCTCTGTTCCCCAGGGCCTGGCCCAGAGCAGGCACTGGGTGTTGGCATTCAGTCCCTGGAGGCCTGGCAGGTCTGACCTGTTCCTGCATGGTCAGAGTGCACCCCAATTTCCCAAGCTAAGGAGGTGGAAGAGGAGAGCTGCTTTTCCCACCCAAAAGGAGCAAGTCAGGTCCTTTCTTAGGTTCTGCTGCCATCTTGTGGCTACAGTAATGCCTGGACCCCATTGTGTGCCAGGCAATACCCATTATGGGATGTACAACATAAGGTCCCCTCACTGCACCAGGGGCAGCTGAGAGAGAACAGAGAGCAGGCAGATGTGAGGGAGAACCCAGAGCTGCCATGAACCCTTTCACTGCTACCTCCAGGCCTCACCCTGAGTTTGATGGTGAGAACTACAGCATCCTACACACCAGACACTGTCCTAGAGCCCCTTGCCTGTGTTAGTAACTCACTGAATCCTCGCAACAGCCCTGGGAGGAGATACTATTACTGTCCCCATTTTACAAGGGATGAAGGAACTTAGGCACAGTAAGTAAGGAGCCAAGCAGCCTAGCACAAGCTGCTCTCCTGGCTGCATCTTGCTGCTAGTCTTGATGGTAACTTTAGGCAAAACACTGCTCCTGTGTTAGATAGAGGTCATGGAGGCTCAGAGAGCCTAAGTCCCTGTCCTAGGCTTACATAGCCGGTCTCTGGGGACTCACACAACCTGTCAGACTCCAGAGAGCGCATTCTTAAGCAGCAATCTCAGGCTCAGGGCAGAGACATCACACAGAGTAAAGCAGCCTGATGGATTGCAGAGGCAGAGGGCACACGCCCGCCACTTGACGGACGGGACGCCGGGCGGGGTCATTCAGGGTATAGGTGTGGCAGACCTTCTATGTTTGCCTTGGGAAGCTAGAACCTTCTTTTTTTATGCAAAACCTCCTCATTTGGATGTGCTGGTCCATCATTAAAAATTAACAGCACTGTGTGAGTTTAAAAAACAAACTACCAACACCTGTGGGCTGGTTTTGCCTGTAAACCTTCATTTTTACCCTCAGGTCAATGACTGAGAGCTGGGTGCCAGGCAAAAGTTTTAGAAGTAGAGGCTGTCAGGCCAGGCCCTGTGGGAAGGGCAGGTGGTCAGGAGGGAGAGAGGGTGGCAAGGAGTGTCCTGGAGCCCTCCCTGACTGTTATATCCTCCTGCCTGTCCCCAGCAGCCTCCACACTCTCCCAGCTCTCAGACAGTGGACAGACTCTGAGCGAGGACAGTGGCGTAGATGCTGGTGAGGCAGAAGCCAGTGCCCCTGGCCGAGCCAGACAGACGGCATCCACTAAGAGCAGGAGTAGCAAGGAGTTGCCTCGGGCTGAGAGGACAACAGAGAGGGCCAACAAACCGGTGAGTCAGGTTGAAGAGGACAGGGTGCAGAGATCTGAGAAGAAGGCAGGGCCCAGGGGGAGGATGGGTGGCCCCAGGGACCAGGGTGCAGTTAGACAAGTCCACCAGGGGATTTGGGAAAGTCAGAGGGACACCCTCTTAGGAATGTAGAGGCCTAGTTTAAGTCCTGCCTATGCCATTAACTCTGGTGGCCGAAGGTTGAAGCTGGCCTTGAGGATCTTTGAGGTCCCCTTCCTTCTGGTGAGGTGGCTGGGATAGTCAGATAGGTGGCAGCAGGCAGCCTTGGTCTAGGACTTTGTGGGGATTAAAGAGCTGAGGACACCACGTGCTTTGCTCAGTCCCTGTCACACTTAAGGCTCCCAATATGGTGTGCAGTATGAGCCTGTTGGTCCATGGGTGACAGCCCGGCCCAGCACCCTGGCCAGGCCTCAGAGGCCCCTCCCTCACTCCTGCAGCCTGGCCTCCTGGAGCCCACATCCACCCTGGTCCGTGTGAGGAAAAGCGCTGCCACCCTGGGCATCGCCATCGAGGGTGGTGCCAACACACGCCAGCCCCTGCCCAGGATCGTCACGATTCAGGTACATCCCCAGAAACCCCCTTATCAGGGCTCAAAGGCCCCTTTCTCAGAACCCCTCGGTGTTGATATCCCACAGGTGATCCTGTTACGGGTCCTTCACATGTCAGCCTGCATGGCAGGCTAGTCGGAAGATGTCTTATCCTCTCTCCTGGCCCAAAGCCAGAACCAGGAGGCTCACATCGCCCTTGGTCTGATCAGCCTCAACTTCAACTGGGGCAGAGGGTTCTGGTAGCTACCTGGGTGGCAGCAACCAGCTACCCAGTGGATGGTCAAAGCCAGGTGCCCCCTGCTCACAGGCGTCTCATGTGATCCCCACCCTATGTCTCACCCTGCAGCGAGGGGGCTCAGCCCACAACTGTGGGCAGCTCAAGGTGGGCCATGTGATCCTAGAAGTGAATGGGCTGACACTTCGAGGCAAGGAGCATCGGGAAGCCGCCCGCATCATCGCTGAGGCTTTCAAGACCAAGGACCGGGACTACATTGACTTTCTGGTCACTGAGTTCAATGTGATGCTCTAGGGGCCGGGCCCTGCCCATCCCCCAGCCTGGCACTATCAGGCTTCTGGAAGGGTTGGGCTGCATGGCCAAGGGGAGCAGGCAGTCATCCCCCCACTCCATCCTGGCCCACTGGACCAGAACTGGGAGAGAAAGAGCCAAGACACATGGAAGGTCACATGAGAATCTGTGTGCCGGGTACACAGTAAGTGCTCAATACAAGTGGGGAGTGGGAAAGGAAGAAAGCAAGAGGAAAGGCAGAGTGCCTGTTGCTCTGGGTTGGACAGAGGATGCTGCTGCCCACAGCCAGTGAGGACCCAGCCCACCCCAGGTCCTGAGCCTTTGTCTGGGGTGAGGTTACAGAACTCCTGACACAGCTTCCTGCCAGGGCATCTTGCAGGACCTTCAGTGCCACAAACAAGCATGGAGCACGCCCCCGCTCACAGCCCTGTCCTCCAGCTCCTTACCCCTGTGTATTTATTTCCCTTCCCATACTCCGGGGTACCCTGAGCCTATCCCAGAGGCCTTGCAGGAGCCAGCATCGTCAGTGTATTTATATACAGAACTTAGGACTTTAATTTTTCAATAAAGAAATCTGAACAAGCTTCCAGGCCAGCGTGCTGTGTGATCTGCCTGCAGGGCTGGAGTTTTGATTGCTCCATGTGGAGACAGGAGTGGGAGGGGGTGGGGAGGGCAGAAGGGGCACAAAGAGCATCACACACCAGTCCCCTGGAGCCTTGCATCCCATGGATCAGTTGGGGATACACAGCAGGGTAGGCAGGTGTGCCTAAGACTCACTGCATTCTGGGAACACCTTACTTAAAAATTTGAGGGTAAAAGTTAAGTACATATCTATCAGTAGTATTTGTACACTAAAATACACAAGTATGTTATGGGATAGAATGCAAAAGATTCAGGAACGTTTTAAACACAGACTGGCTAGTCTTGGATGGGTGCCTGGAAGCTGACTCTGAGACTTGGATTTGTAAGCAGAGTAATTCATTAAGGAAGGATAGGGAGGAGAGGAAGGCTGGGACCAGTGCATTCCAGGCAGAGTCCCCAGAGGGCCATTTCTGGTGTCTAAGGTAGACCTAGAGTTGTCTCTACTCATAGCCAGAGGCTGGACGTTTCTGCCTGTCATGTTGGCTGAGACCTGTGGGTCAAGGAATAGACTCCCAGTCCTTTCCTGTTCCACCTGCCTGCCCAGGCCCAACTGGCCCAGCAGCCCAAGGCTGGAGTGGGGAGTCAGAAGTACAAGGGAGGAGAAGACCACAACACATGCCAGCCCCAGGGCCATTCCCCCCTGTCTGCAGGATCTGTCTGGTGGAAGAGGAACTGGAGAAGCCCTGTTTTGCCAGCCCTGTACCCTGGGCTCTGCCAGAGCTGGGCCAGGGGCATTAGTTCTATGATCTTTTTTGAGAGCCTTTCCTTAGCTGTCCCTGTCTCTTTCTACTCGAGGTCAGAGATATGGACTCCCCTGAGGCTGCCAGTACCCCAGAAGGCTCTAGCCCCTCTTCAGGGGCTCTGTTTGCCCCTTCCCTCTGCACAGGGTTTGTCAAGTTTGCAGGAATGACTTCCCATTCCACTGCAGGGATTTTGTCAGACTCCAGTTCAAATTCTGTGGGGTCTTGGGTAAGTGATTTCACCTGAGCCAGATGTACCCACCTGGAAAATGCATCTGGCGAGCTAAATAGGCCACCGAAGATGACCAATTTGTACCCTGGAACCTGTGAAGGTTGATTTATGTAGCAAAAGAGAGTTACAGCTGCCATTGCAAAAGTGATGGGAAATGGTTCTGGGTGATCAGGGTGGGCCTGCCTTACTTTATCAACGAGGTCCTTGTAATAATGAGACAGAGGAAATTTGACACAGAAAGGAAAGGGGGCTGGGATGGTGGGAGCAGCAGGAGAGGGATGACGTGCTTTGAGAATGAAGATGGGCTCCTGAGCCAAGAACTGCAGGTAGCCCCTTCCCCACAGAGCCTCTAGAAGGAACCTATGCACTGAGCCTGATTTTGGACTTCCCACTCTATAAAAGAGCAAATTTGTGTTGTTTGAAGCCAGTAAATATGACAGTTTGTCCCAGCATCCACAAGAAACCCATATAATGAGGGCACTGCTACCTGCCTTAGTGGAGGTGGGATGCAGAAGGTCACCCTAATGGCATTCCAGGTGTGATGGCAATGAACCTGGAACTGGGAGGCACCTGGCCTTGTGAATGCCACACCTTTCTAGGCCTGAGGACCTGTGTATCTGTTCTGAATGGACTTCAAGTTATCATTGGCTAGTTGTGGGAATTTTTGGCCAGGACAGGTGACATTCCTTCCTCAAATCCACCATCTCCTTACTTGGTCCAACCCCAGGGTCAGACAGCCCAGTCTGTGCTGTGAGAGTGCAGGTCAAGAATGGGCCTGATTCTAGTGCTGCCACCTGTTGGGCATTCCTCACCAAGGGAAATTTAAGCCCCAAAACAGCCTTTGCAAGTGGCTTAGAAATGTAAAGTACACCTGCCCAAAACCACAGGGCAAGTTTGGACCCACAGCAGCTTGAGGCCGGGGCCTGCTCTTCCCACAATGTGAAGCCCTAGGACAAACACTTGTCCTGGTGTCTTTGAAGGTACCCTATTTGGTAGGGGGTAGGGCATCAGAGGTCCACCTGGCCATGTGTACCTAAGGCCCAGACATCTTTTCTCATGATGCCAAAGATTGGGGGAGTGCTGGAGAGTCTCAGTGCTCCTCCTGGCCTGGGGAACCCTGAGCAGGTTACATACCATCCCAAACCTCAGTTTCCCCTTCTGCCCCAGAATCTTTCAAGCAGGACTTCCATGTTGCTCAACTACATGTCTGCAGTTCCATTTCATAACAGTGTGGACACATGCTCAGTCTCTTCCTGCCTCCCCCACCCCACACGCTCCCGACACGTGAAGATCCACGAAGGAGAAAGCAGGCAGGCCGAGGGCAAGCAGAGTTTCTGGTCCTGGGCTGTGGGCCTGTCCAACCCCAGTTAACCTGTCTATAGCACCTTTGGCCCCTTCTGCCTGGGACACAGTGCCATGGGGGTGAGGTGGCCCAGATGGGAGGGAACACCAGGACAAGGAGCCAGGCAAAGGCCAGGGTCTACTCTTTCGGGTCACACTTTGAGGCCAAATTCTACCTCCATCACGTCTTGGCTGGGTAACTGAGCAAGTCATTTAACCTCGTTAAGCCTCCCTTTGCCCATCCTTACATGGGGAGCATAAGGTTGACCTAACTTGTAGGTTACTGTACGGATTAGCTAAACTGTTTACCCTTTTACAGAGCAGCACTTCTACTGTGATTGCTGCTACCCAGGTGTGTTAGGAGTACCTGGCGACCTGGGGGACCGGGAGAGCTGGCTGCCGGCTGGGGAGGAACTGGGTGCCACACAGCTGGATGTGGACTTGGGCAAGTCACTTTGTGCCTGGGGAGCTGTTAACTCCCCTGTGTGATGGTGTCGGTCAGGTGCTGTTAAATTAGTACCCGCGATGCATCTCTGTGAGGCTGAACTATGTTTATTTATCTATCCCCTCCCCCCCAGCAACCCCAGAACTGGGGGTGTGAATCCCATTTGTTGCAGTTCGGCGGCAGCAAGTGGCGGAACTGGGGCAGGCGCCCAGGTCAGTCTGACACCCTACACCGCCCTTGTTCAAGGAACGCTTTTGTAGACAGTGGATTAGTCCTGTCCTGTACTTCCTGTGGACCTTGGGCAAGTTCTTGTCCCTGTCCGGCCTGAGAATCCAGGCTTGTCAAATGGGAGTTGGGACTAGAGGATACTTGGGGGGTAGTGGTAAGACCTGCCTACCTCACTGGAGAGGAGGAGCATAAGAGCTTGCAACAGACCCTGGCACATAATGAGTGTCGAGAAGTGTATTACCACTGTTACCAGGCAATCCGTTTCAGCCATAAAAGTTTGTAACTTCTTCCTCCTGGTGGCTCTGTGGATCTTGCACAAAAGTGTAACCCTCCGGACCTCAGTGTCTCCATCTGCGGTGGGGCGGATTCCGGTAGGAAGAGGCAGCCTAGTTTGGTAGATTTGACATTTTTGATCTTTGAGTTCTGGAGCCAGCTCCCCAGAAGCCAGAGACCCTGGGGGCGGGGCTCAGGCAGCCGCCTTATTGCGATTGGTGGAGCTTCCTGAGGCCCCGCCCCATCAGAGCCACCACCCAGCTGTCGCTGGTCAGCTTCTGGCATTATGCAAAACAGCTTCGCCCCGCCCCGTGCACGGATTGGAGGCCTTTGTCTGCCGCTCAACTCCAGGAAACTATAGCGCGCGGAGGCAGCCAGCAGGTGAGCCCCGGAGGGGACCAGGGTGGGGTCGGGCGGGTCTTGGAGGGTCTCGGGGACTCAGTTTCTCGATCGGAAGAATGGGGAGGAAGCCGGTGGACTCTGCTCCACTGGGGCCGCGCTGCTTTCGGCCTCTCCACGTGGAAAGCCCACGCGCCCGAGCCGGAGACGGATTGAGGCTCCAGGAACCGGAGGGACCCTGGGCGCGCGATCGGGGCCAAGTCCCGACCCCTCCGGTTTACGGAGTTCCCAGTCTCCACCCCTCCGGCCTCAGTCTCCACCTCCGCATAATGGGGGCGTTGGCTTTTTCCTCCTGCCCGGGCTGGTGGCCGGGGTGGAAGGGGTCCCGCGGGACCCGGGGGTGGTCCTTGGCGGCGCCGCGGACAGTGTTTGGGCTGGAGGCGTGGCCCGGGTTGCTGTGGTGACTGGGGCTTTTCTGTTCTGGGATTTGTGTGAGGTTCGTTCACCCGGCAACAATCCGCGCAGCCAGGCAGCTCCAAGACGCGCGCCCTCCCCGGACGCCTCACGCAAGTTTCTTTTCCTCTTTTTGGCAGGGGGAGGGAGGCAGAGCAAGGGCCAGGTGGGGTGGGCAGTCTGGACCGGAACGAGCTGCAAAACTGAGGCCAGTCCCCTCTTGGTACACAGGAGGAGACCGAGGCCCAGAGAGGGGGCGCGGCTTACCCAAGGGCGCACAGCAGAGAGGCGCAGAGCTGGAGACCAGCTCTCCAGCACCGGGGAGACTCTTCCAATCCTTCTCTGGTTTTAGTCGAAAGAAATGACAGGGTGGAGAGCATCATGACCTCCGTTTAAAAACCTGCTTCTGAGTGAGAAAGTTGGAAAGGAAAAGTTGCTGATAACAAACCCGAGCTGTTTTAGAGCTGAGAAGAGAGGCTGAGA